AAGCAGAAGCTGACAGAGGAATGCGTTTTGCCCCGTGGGGTCTCACACCATGGTAGTGTCACTGTTCGGAAATCGTACACACACATCCGCCGCATCGTTCCAGGAGCTGTCTCCGTATGACATCAGGAAACCCTACTCGCTTCCTGACTCAAGGATTTACAAAAATCCGCACCATCCTGAGTTTCTATCCCACTATTTGGATGCGTTCTAAGAAACAATTTCCTGTCCTGATGGTCCACTGTCTCTGGATGTTACCAGGGACATGACTATGCCATTTTTGCAATTGAACCTTGTGGGACAAACACTGCCTTGTCAAAATATTTGGAAATTTGATAAGATTCTTTACAGATTTGTTTGGTTTGTAAAGCAGCTACACACTAGATTTAGAGGATGCACAGTGGATAAACAATATGATGTAATGGAAACACTTTGGAAACAGAGGGATGTAGAGTCAACATGTGAGAGATATATTGAGAGGATCCAACACTGGCTGAAAGAGGTAAATTATATAGACTAAACTGGTAGGCAAGGGTATTAAGGAAGCAAGCTGAGCAAGTAATTAGGCTAAAGGTACGGATCAACCATAATGTGACGCTACGAGTAATGAAGCTATTGAGAGTGGGAAAGGGAGAGCACAGACTTACAGCAACAAAAAGAGGTTGTGGTATTTGAGAATGTGCTCCTCTGATGATGGCCCTGCTGAGTTATTTTGTAAAGTGGCAGGGAGTTAGTTATACTGCATGAATTTGGGCTGATTGCCCACAAATAACACTGGATTTAATGCTATTTAAATTAGCAGGTGTAAAACCTGATGATGAACAGATTAGCCATGTGTTAGATACTATAAAACCCTCGAACACGTTAGGCATCTCTGTAACATGTTCCCTCCATCTCCATTTGCCAAACCTTTGTTTTTAAATTTCTAATTAATTGTACTTCAGATCCTTTTAAATGCATATTTGTACAATATCGATGTGGTTTCATGTGAATTTGAGTTCAGTCTTACTTATATGCCACGGACCCTATTCATACAGCCAGCCAACAGTTGAAGTGTCTCACACAGGTTACACTTTGTTGGGTTGAGTCTGGTTGCAAGGGTTAAAGTCATGTCTTTTCCTCAGTCTCTTGATCAGCTTCAGCCCTGGTCTAATAGCAACAGTCATTTCCACTGCTTGTGCCTGGCAGCCTTGCCCCAGCTCTGGGTACTCGATGCACAAATTGACCCCCATGTTGTTGGTCCTCTCCACTTATGCACAGATTAAGGTGCCATCTATCCAATTCTAGCCCATCCATGGGGAAAAGAGGGAGAGGTTGGGAGAAGGAAGGAGGGAGACACATTAAGCTTCCTGGGAGAACCACAAGGGATACCTGGGCTGAAGTTTAGATTTAAAAAATACATGGGCAGTAAATGGAATTAAAACTAAAGGGTGCAAACATCTCAAGAGATATCAAACATTACACTTTAATAAAGTTTCAAGGGCAATAAAAATAATGCAAACTAATTGGATGGTAAAACAACAGAACCCAGAGAAGAAAACAAATTGTAGGTTCAGCTAAAATGTTCCATGAGATTGAAGCTTGTTAAAGTGTTTAAACGTATTTAAAAGTTTTGCAAAGTGCTCATGGTGTTTAAAAGTATTTCAAAGTTTGTAAAAGTTATAAAAAGTGCTCAAAGTTTTTAAGGGTATTTATAAAGAAAAATACATGCCTACTTTCGAGGAGATGGCTGTGTCTTCATCTAGTGATATATGCACAAACACATGAACAAAAGAATTAGGGGCAGGAGCAGGCCATTCAGCCCCTCAAACCTGCTTATCCATTCAATAAGTTCGTGGGTGATCTGATAGTGGCCTCACCTTCACTAAGCTGTGTATCCCTGATATCCTTTTGTTCCCTGGTTAGTCAAGAATCTACTATCTCTCCTTTAAAAATATTTCATAACTCTGCTTCCCTCTAGGCAAAACAGTTCCAAAGACTGCCAAAAGTTGATAGGAATTTTCTTTTTCATTTTCTTTTTCTATTTTTTTTCTTTTTCTTTTTTTTCATTCCTCATCTCCATCTTAAATGGTACTCCCCTTATTTTTCAACTGTGTTCCCTGGTGCTAGACTATCTTACAAGAAGAAACATCCTTTCAGCATCCACTCTGTCAAGTTCCCTCGGGATCATATATATTTCAAGCAGATCTGGACTCCAAATATGTCCAGCCTGTCCAAATCTTTTCTCTCAGGTTCAGAAGAGATTTACCAGGATGTTGCCAGGAATGGAGGGTTTAAGTTATAAGGAGAGGCTGGCTAGTTTGGGACTTTTCACTGGAGTTTAGGAGGTTGAGAGGTGATCTTATATAGGTACATAAAATCATGAGGGGTACAGATAAGGTGAATGGCAGATGTCTTTTCCCTAGGGTGGACGTATTTCAAGATTAGCTGGCATTATTTTTAAAATGAGAGGAGAAAGACTAAAAAAAGACACGAGGGGCAATTTTTTTACACAGAGAGTGGTTCGTGTGTGGAATGAACTTCCTGAGGAAGTGATGGATGTGGATACAGTTACAATGTTTCATCGATGGACCAAACTTTCGAAATTCTCACTGCAGCCAGTAAATCAGGAGAGCTCACATTCTTCAGTGATGTCTCTCCAAGGTCGGCTGTGAATTTTACTGTTTGTTTATTTTTCTTAGACCGACCTCTGATGTCCAACGATGCTTGTAAGTACACAGCACAGATAGTCAGCTGTGAAAGTTCACTGCCTGGTCTGTGCAGGTTCGCTGCTCTTTTATTTTCACCTCCCACGTGGTCCCTGCTCTCCCTCTTTCCTCCCGTTTTAAAGTACCATTGATTTGATATTTTTCTCCCCAGGGCTCCAAAACAATGCAACAGTTTATAAAACATTAATTCCTGCTCCAAGAAATCGAGGAAATCTGCTCCAACACTGAAAGAAACCTCAAAAACGGAGTAGCTCTTACAGCCATCAAATTTTTTTCCCCATCCTCCATCTTGGATTATCCAGAAATGGATGGGTGTATGAATAGGAAGGGCTTAGAGGGATGTGGGCCAAATGCTGGCAAATGGAACCAGATTAACTTAGGATATCTGGTCAGCATGGACGAGTTGGACCGAAGGGTCTGTTTCCGTGCTGTACATCTCTATGTCGGTCAGGATTGCTGATATGTCAAGCTAACTGCAAAGTTGGGGTCAATCGAACTGAATTAAGAACAGAATCGAGGGGATGAATGGCCTATCCTTATTCCTGTGTTACTGTATGTCCCACTTTCCCCAGGGCTTTGACCTCTTCCCACCCACTATGTTGAAATTCTCCATATCCCTCTGTTCTTAAATATTTCCAAAGTACTTCAAACACAATGTAGCACAGTCACTGTTGCAATATAGGAAGCAAAGCAAGCAGATCGCACACGCCAAGGTCCTACAAAAAGCAGTGAGATAACGATCATTCGATCTGTTTTAATGGTATTGGTTGAGTAATAAATATTGACCAGAACATCTGGAGAGCTCCCCTGCCCGTCAAACCGGATTATTTACATTACCTGAGAGGGAAGATCAGGTGCAAATGAATGCCTCACCTGAAAGGTAATACCTCTGACACTGCAGCACCACCCCCAGTGCTGTTTCTGTGCCCGAATACCAGGAGGGGGACTTTCTGATTCAGCAACATCCAACATTTATGCACCTCATACAAGGTGCAAAATATTTTAAGGTTTGTAATAAGGGAGAGATTTCTGAAAAAGGGTCCCGACCCGAAATGTCAACTTTCCTGCTCCGCTGATGCTGCCTGGCCTGCTGCGTTCCCCTAGCTCTGTCCCTGTTATCTCTGTCCCCAACACTGGCAGTTCTTACTATCTCTGAGAGATTTATGGAAACATTTTTGATGCTGAGTGACCCAGGAGCACAGGTACCCAAAAGCTTGGTTAAAAAAAAGGTATATTTTAAAAATCTTCTCAAAAGAGGAGCAAAGGGTAGGAGAGACTTAAGGAGACTTAAGGCTCTGAAGAAGGGTCCCGACCTGAAACGTTAGCTTTCCTGCTCCTCTGATGCTGCCTGGCCTGCTGTGTTCCTCCAGCTCCAGACTGTGTTATCTCTGACTCCAGCATCGGCAGTTCTTACTATCCCATCATTTCTCCAGCACCTTTTTGTTCTGAATGAGAGTCATGTCGGACTCAGTTTCTTTCTCCACAGGTACTGCCACAGGTAGTGGGTTTCTCCAGCACTTTCTGTTTGTGTTTTAGATCTCCAACATACGTAGTAATTTGCTTTTGTCACAGGTTTGTCAAGGTTGATACCTGAAATCAGGGGTCTTTTACCAATTCCAGACCCTCCAACCCTTTGCTGAAGCGTTGGTATCACACAGGGAATTTGATAGTGCTTGGCAGTGCCTTCACACAGCAGCGTATTGTGGAAGGATGATTTAATGTGTCTATCCTCAGTGTAATCAAAAAGACAGAACCACTTGAGTGTGGAGTAATTTTCCATGCCTCAATGCTTTGTGATACCCAGGCCAAATCCACCCACTCCTGGATCAAAGAGGCACCTCAGGACCCCTGAGATGTGCCAATCTACTTTTCAACTTCAGATTGGCAATTCCTCAGCACAACTGTCTCTGACTCTGAATTAAAACAGAGATTTTGGACTTATTTCCCTGGGTGGTTATCCAGGAAATGTTAGACAGCAAGAACTCTTGTGAGTACTTGGCTACCACACAGCACCCTCCCTCCATCTTTTCACTGCCAGCTATGTCCCAATCACCTCACTACCCATCAAAATCTGGATTACCCAAACAACCTGATCCAATTACCCCAATCCACCTCATCCTGCCCATCTACCATCACACCCACCAACCTACCCACCTATGTGCTCATACAACTACCAGCTCATACACGTATCATCTCGCTCATCACACCTAGCCAGTCATTCATTCACTCACTCCTTAATTATATTCACCCATTCACTAGTGCATGAAGACTGATGCAGTGAAGCTTTCAGCTTACCATATAGCCCTGTAAAACAAAAGGCTCCTTTCATGTCCTCTCCTTGCCGCTGCGATGTTGTGATCGAATCACCATAGAATCCCTGCAATATGGAAGTAGACCATTCACACCATGAAGTCCACACTGACCCTCTGAAGAGCATCCCACCCCTCCACTCTATCCCTGCATTTCCCATAGCTAGTCCACCTGGCGTATACACCTTTGGAATGCAGAAGGAAACCCACACCAGGCACAAGGAGAATGTGCAAACTCCACACAGATAGCCACCCAAGTGTAGAATTGAACCCGTATTGCTGGCACTGTGAGGCAGCAGTGCTAACCACTGAGCTACCAGGCGACCCCTGCTAGGTGCTTAGCTCCATAATTCTCAGAAAGCCAGACTCTGAAATCCTGATAAGAATTGCAGATCAGATTGAGTCTGAATAAAGTTGGAATCGAGTGGCAATCCAACAATGATTGCAACCTCTTGGAAGGCATGCCTTGATTTCTGAGAGGAGTGGGCATATAGCAATATTCCAAACTCATAGCTGATTCCCTCAATGATTAGAAATCTTATTCCCAGGCTTGAATTTCCTTAACAATTCAGTCTCAACAGCTATCCACTGTAAAGATTTCCACAGGTTCACCACTCTCTGAGAGAAGAAATTCTTCATTGTCTCTTGACTTAAATGGGTGACTCCTCATTCTAAGGTTATGCCCTCTGGTCCCAGATGCTCCCACAGGGGAAACAACCTCTCCACATCTACCCTGTCAAGCCCCAGAAGAATCTTCTTGTTTCAATGAAGTCGCCTCACATTCTTCTAAGCTCCAATGAGGACAAACCCAATCTACTTAGCCTCTCCTCAAAATACAGTCCTTATATACTCAGAAACAACCCAGTAAACCTGCTTTGGACTGCCTCCAAAGCCAATGCATCTTTTCTTTGATAAGAAGGCCTAAATTGTTCACATATTCCAGCTGTGGTCTGAATAGTGCCTTGTATAATTTTAGCTAGACCTGCCTACTTCTATATTTTACCTTGAATATCTTCGCATCTCTGAGACCCCTCATGACCTCAGTGCCTCAGTGGAAGAGCTTGTTCTACATATTGAACATTCGCAATGTAAAGAAAAAAAAAGGTTTGCATTTTTCCAGCACTTTCCAGAACAACATGATGTCTGAATGTCCATTTACAGTACTTTTGGAGTGTGGTCACTCTGGTGCTAGGAGAAACACAGCAAAGAGTTTGTGCACAGCAAGATCCCACAATGACCAGATAATCTGTTCTTGTGACGCTCATTGAGAGACAAACATTAGGCCAGGATAACTTCCCTGTTCTACATTGAAACAGTAGAATGGTATCTTTAATATCTGCCTGAAGTGGCAGATGGGAATCTCAGTTTAATTTCTCACATGAAAGAATAGCACCTTTTATAGAGCAATACTCTCACTGGAATACATCTTCTGCTCAAGCTCCAGAGTGAGATGTGAACACGCAACATTCTTGTTTCGAGACAAGTGTGTGACCAAACGATCCACGGCTGATGCTGGTAAGAACACACTCCTGACCCACTAATCAGCTTTTACAAAGGGACAGTACTGCAGATGCTGGAAATACTGCAAATCTGAAATAAGAACTCCAAGTGGTGGAAATACGCAGCAGCTCAGCCAGTCTATGCGAAGAAAGAAACAGAGTTAACATTTCAGGTTGATGACCCTTCATCAAAACATCTGGGTCTCCTGGCTCAGGGGTAGGGACACTATCACTGTGCCATCATGTCACTCTTTATATGTTCTCAAAGGACTTAATTGATGCCCTCCACCTGCATATCACCTTTTTCCCAGGGCGGAAATGACTATTACGAGGGGGCATAATGTTAAGGTGATTGGAGGAAGGTATAGGGGAGATGTCAGAGGTAGATTCTTCACACCAAGAGTGGTGGGTGTATGGAATTCACTGCCGGCAGTGGTAGAGAAGTCAGATACTTTAGAGACTTTTAAACAACTCTTGGATAGGCACATAGATGATAGTAAAATGTAGGGTATGCAGGGTAGATTGATCTTAGTAGGATAATAGGTCGGCGCAACATCGGGGGCCGAAAGGCCTCTACTGTGCTGTACTGTTCTATGTTCTATATCCTTAACAGTAACCAACACACCATCAACATTAACTATTTCAAATTTGGATTGTGGGCTATCTATCACAAAGTTGAAGATTTGAATACAGTGGTTGTTGTTGAAATAGAGGTATTGAAGTCATCTTTTCCAGGAAACATGTTTCCATGGTAATATTGCTGAAAGAGACAAATGCTATTAACTGCCTGCTGGTCAATGTTTGACACATTTTCATAGGGAACCTTTGTAGACTAGACCAAGTTTTAGGATGGCTGCCAGTGGCTATCTTCTCCTGCAGTGTTGGTACTGTATTGGTGGTCTGCACAATTCCTCTAATTCCCCCACCCCACTCCTCTTTGCTATCCTCCACACCTGTAACTGTACTTATCAGTGGCAATAATTTACGTGAGCATACATGGTACCTTTGTAATATATATTTGCTTGGTAACTATGGCAGAGATAGCCTTGCCTGGTTATTCAGGTGTGATGACAATAGTGTTATCACTTCATTTCCTAATGTATCAATAGCAGCAATATTTACTGAAGGAGCCCCATTTCCACCCAGGAGGTGATTGGCTACTGATGGGTTTACTTAACAATGACTCAATTTCTAAATGCACTTTACCACCAGCTCAGTTCAGTCAGCTGCGTGAAAATCTTAATTTACTTTGTGTACAGTTAATGCATGGTTGCACTGGCTGGAAACATTCCATTTTTAATGGGCTTCATTTTTTTTTGTTTGTTAACCTTACTGCTTAAAATGGAATGAGATGTGAATGTGTGCGAATTATAGACCGGTCAGCCCAACAATTTCCGTGGGAGACACAAAAAACAGAAATTGCTAGAGGTCTGGCAACATCTGTAGGAAGAAAGCAGAGTGAACGTTCCGAGTCCAGTGACTCTTCATCAGAATAGAAAGTTTGTGTGGAAGAGACAAGCTAAGAGTTGGAAATCAGAAAGTGATGGGAAATGGGAGGAAGTGCAGAGAAAAATGAGGGAGTGAGTTCTTTACTGTCACTACCTCTTGCTATGAGCTACCATTGAGTTAAGACTTTCAGAGTTTCCAGAATTTCTGCTACTTTAGTGGGTCACTGCCCTTTAGCTCCTAACTTACTTTTCCACTTGTAAGCAAACATACTTTGCAGCTAGAGATGTGCCTCAGAGCAGAGAAGCAGCAGACTTCAAATTGGTGTTGGTATAAAGCCTGTTTCTAACAATTCAGGTGAAAAACTGCAGCCAGGTTGGGAAATTCTGCTTCACCTGTGTGTTCACTCAATCACTCTATCTAGTATGGGATGAAATCTGGATGTCAACCAACGAAGAAAGAGAAATAGTACACAGTAGAACAAACAATGTAACAGCATCATTGCAAATGGCTGAAATTCCATTTTGTAACCCAAGTGGTTTAGGTGGGAGAAAGTATATCAAGAGTCAGCGATTGAAAAGTCTGCAGGAGATCATGGCATCAAGCTGAGAAGTTGGTATTTCCCAGTGCTGTCCCAATCAGACTGGAAGCACAATGGCTTTCCTTGGGATCACAATTTCACTGTGATGTTGCTGGGCATTAGACTTTTCAATGCCACCAACACCAGTCAGGTCTGCACCATCTCCATTACAAGCATGCTTCAACAGCATTTAAACATGGTCCTCATCTCTCTGGCTGTGTGTCTGGCAGGCACATTGTTGGCTAACCCACTGCTTGTGGCGCTTATTGTGTTAACGAAATGGTTTCGCCGGGAGACAAGGTATGTGCTTCTGGCGAACATAGCCTCAACAGCCTTATCAGCATATCAGCGCAGCAGTGCATGCCCACACTGGTATGTGATGTTGCAGTTATTGGATGAATCATGTCTGAATAGGGCAGTGTCATTCCCATTGCAGTTATGATGATTGATACCTACGTAGCTCTTAGCTTCCCATTGCGTTACTTGTCGCTCACCTCCCCATCACGAACCGTTAAACTTATAATCCTGATTTGGATTCTAGCATCAATGTATTCGTTCATCTTGCTAACTCCAATCCTGGCAAAAGCAATCGGCTCTGACTCACGGTCACAAGATGTGCCTCATGTTGCCGCTCCCAGATTTGAGCTGTTTTGGCCACTGTCTGACATTAGAAATCAACATTTCCTTTACGTGCAGCATTTTGCTCCTTTTTCCCAATGGTACTGTACTGCTATGTCATGCTGTCAAGCTGGGGCATCTGGGACAGTCTCAAATCCAGGGCCAGACTGACTGTGCTAATACATGGGATTGTCCCCTTTCTGTATTTCTTCCCCTGTTTGATTTTTAACTTTGAGATTGTGTTCAGAAATTCACACCTCATCAGCCTCAGTGATAGAATATGGCTCCACTTCATCAACATTCATGTTTTCATGATGCTCCCATGACTACTGTGCCCTTCCCTTTGTGGTTTGAGATATACAGAACTGGAAGAAGCAGTCAAGAGCCTACTTATAATGAGAACTCATTGCGTACATGATCAGAGTCCAAACTATCTCCAGTGGTCGATGTTGTCTGACTTGGAAGGGATGCTGTTCCCATTACACTTGCTGTCTTTATCCTTGTAGAAGTCACAACTTTAGGTCCCTGCTGATTTAAGGGTGGCAAGGTGTCCCACACTAACCCCAGGTCACTAATGCCAGGAAAGGGACTGTGAATGGGTTGCACATGGTTGCATGTGTGTCTCAGTGGTGTATAGCCTGGCCCACCATCAGAATGCTAAGGTGCATTGTGTTACTCGAATTGGAGAGTGAAGGTCTGGCTAGGGCCCAAGAAATCTCAGACTGATACTCAATGACGCAAGTGAGCCCAGTAAGGCAGGTGATCAATTCCCCATTATCAATTATCTTCCCAGGGCAAAGTTTTTTTCATATATAATGGTGCTCAATGTTCTTGAGATTCTACTTTGACTCAAGTGGCATTTTAGGCCAACAACTTTATTTGTTTGCCTACTGATATTGTTGCTCCTGCCTCCGCTTCACACAGG